GCGAATGTGAGCAAAATTATGTTCAGGGCAAAATATGGTTAACTGTGTCTTATAAAACATATAAACAAAAGGTTACCATTTACTTTAATGTCATAGGATTAAGTTTTATTTCTCATTGACCACCACTGATTTAAAGATAAATTCTGCCAACTTGACTAACAAGGAATTCACCCCTATGAAAAGTCAAACAAGTTTTTTATAAGCTGCTAAGATAGAGCAGGTAGGTAGCAATAAACTCAATATTGCTGTTCATTACAAGATCTAAAGAAGTTCTCCATGTTCTTATCACAGGACAATGCCTGCTTGGATGATTATTCCTATGCAGCATAATAGACTGTGCTGCAAAGATCCCTGAAGTGATGCCATCCTGATCATATGTGCATAAGAGACACATTTCTGCTAGTAATTTATATCTGTCTCTAAGCAAGTGTTTTTTCAACAATCTTTCAACAAGAATACACTCTCTCTGATTCTTTTATATATGTAGAGAGAGGTGGAAATGTTATTAAATCTACGAGTTTGGGTTAGTTCTCCAACATATTATATGGCTGGTATATTAAAACCACCTGTGCCTGATTAAAGAGTGGGAGAATTGGTGACTATCATCCTGGCCAAAACCATACATAGAGGACTAAAGATAACAAATATATATATACTTTTTGTGATGAGAAAGGGATAGAGAAATCCAGACAGTAAATATACAAATGAAAGTATTTAAACAAAAAAGCATCTATTCAAAAGTGATTACATAAATTGTTTGCAAACTGTTACACTCATAATTGAATACCAAAATGTTAAAGTAGGAAATGTATTTGTGGTACTCTATTAGCTAATTCAGAAACAGAAAAAGTGGATAAATTTAAAATATTTAGTAAAAGTGGCTTATTAATCTGTCATGATTTTGCTAATGCTTTTACAAGCATATTTCCAGTTCTCCTTTGTTATAGGGAGAAATCTTGCTCTGACAGGCTCAAGTATAAAATGATCAGGATTTTCCTCCATTATTATTGATGGTATTGAGTACTTTAAATTTTACCTATTAATGGAGACTTACTATGGATTTTTATTTCTAGCTTCATGGTGTCATTACAGTGTAATGGCTTAAGGGGAAGAAAGTTAACATTTGAAAAAAAAGGTTTGTTTCACACACAGAATGACTAGGGTAGAAGAGACCTTAAAGATTATCAAGTCCAACACATGCCTTAACACCTCAATTAATCCATGGCACTGAGTGCCATATCCAGTCTTTTCTTAAACACATCCAAGGATGGTAACCACCATCTCCCTGGGCAGCCCATTCCAGAATGTTTGGTTGTGAATTTTTTCCGGCAGATAAAAAAAATAAAGGTCGAAAAAAGTGGACAAGATTTAATGATCTTGCTGAAAGAATATGTAATCAGAAATACTGTTCATTTTCTCTTCCCGTAGACATTTATTCTATTGGTTTTGAGGTCCACAAGTAGCCAAATGACTGAGAATGTAGAGGACCAGACTTTCCAAACAGTTATCACCTTTCCAAACAGTTTTGAAAATTGGTAAGTGTCCTGAAATGGTTATATTCAGTGCATCAGTTCAGTGACAGTGTTTTGATGCTTCATCTTTGATATTTCATGACAAGTTTAGAGATATATATATATGTAATGTATATATGTATATATATGTGTGTATCATAAAGACTTGTTTTCTCTACCATAGATCCAGATATGAAAGCCTTTTGAGCAAGAACTGAAGAATACAGAAGTTTCCAGTAGCAACAGGAGCAATTCCTTCTGTGCTGAAAACTTGTCTTTTCACTAGAACTGAATGTATCTTCTTCATACTCAATATCAAGAACATCAAAAAAAGCCCAAATTTACATCACTAGAAAATTGTGTGAAGCTGAATTTAAGTAGAACTAGTCCTTTTAAGAATAAAAGAAAACAAGATGTTAAAAGCTAATTTTAATTTGTGACATGCAGCTAAACTGTCTGTTTCTACTTGTTCTCTGATATTTGGAGTTGGCTTCCTTGGACATAGGACATCTGTGTTGATATGTAGCCATAATGATTGCTAAAAGAATCCTAATCTTTATGTCTAATTTCTCAGTTATGTCATTTGAGACTTAGACATTTCTTATATTATTCATCACAGGTATTGAAAATAATTGAAGTATTTCCAAGGAAGTCTTGAGGACCAAATGCCAAATCTTGAGGACAAGGGAGAGTTTGCAAATTGCAGGGATGCAGCATCAAGCTAACGAACAAGGGATTAACCATTTTAGTGTGCAGTACACCAGAGAGGGCAAGAAGTACAGGAGAAAGCAAAAGTCATTGCATGTTAAGTACTGAACTAGTGAAAGTTGTCATATAATTTCTGAGAGGGATGGTTGACTTCTACTTTGTATCTGTCATATGGTTCAATCTGTGCGCTACTGTACTTTACTCATGCAAATCTAAGTGGAAATAAATAAAATTCCAAATACTTTGTAAGACTCATTTCAAAGAGTTCTTTTTTTCCTAAGCTAAAGAAGTCGTATATTCCATTTATCTCCTGTCATTACTGATTACTTCAGCACTCTGGATAACATGTAAAACCAGGCAGTTTATAAAATAGAGGTGGAATTACCTCTTATATGGGGATGAAAAAAACTCCACCTATAATTAATTAAAAAACAAAAAAAAGGTAAATGGGTAAACAATGCAAATACAATTATTTTACCCCAAGAAAATTCAACCAAGTGGAGAGAACTAATTGCGTAGAAATTATTCATATTTATATTGCTGTATGCCAGGTATTCTCTAAAATCCTGAATCACATTTTCTATTATGTTTTTGTGTTAGACCAGCCCTGAAAAAACCTATTTCAATTTTCCATGCTATATTCAAGTTTCATATTGAAAACAAATGTGAACCCTCTTTAGAATAACAACCTTATGTTACTTTTTCCATAAGTATTTTTTTTCCTTTCCCCTTTTAAGTCTGTAATTCTTTCTGTCTGACTTTATTACGTGTGTGAAAAGGTAGGCAGGCTGCCCAGCTCTTGGAAATTAAAGTTCCCTAAGTATCTCAGGTGCCTGCATGAAATTCAGAAGCATGGCAGTTAAGAAAGAAACAACATATGACAAGATGATCCCACGTACAGAGAAAAACTGAGGACATCCGCATCTACTGTTATATCTGCACACTGGGTTCTGAAGCTTTATCATGATGGTAAAACGAGGGAAATTAATCTTAAAATCTGGGCATTCTATTCTGCATACTGTGGAGAAAGGAAAAGTCTCACAATCCCTTTTATGGTACACACTCAGACCCTCAGCCTTTTTAGTTCAATGCAAACTGTTGAAAAGCAAGTGATTTTATTTTATTTTATTTTATTTTATTTTAATTTATTTTATTTTATTTTATTATCTTTCTTTGCCTTATTTGTCTTAAATAATTCTTACAATAATGTTCACAGAAGTAAACACTTACAAAACTGTATTTTATGAAAAACAAAAACACCAATATGCAACAATTTAATAAATAAACAAGATCAAAAACATGTTTAAAAAAATGAACCAGCTTCAAGAAAAAGTAAATTTCTTATACTTTTCTCTCTGACTTCTAAAAGTATTATTAGATCTTTCTCTCCATGTGATTCCCCACTTCCAGCCGGTATGGATTTTCATTTTCAGATTGAGTCATTCTGGCCTGAGACTGATTTGAATTGCAACCTTCTGTACAGACTTATTTACTTTTTTCACCATTATGTTTGATAAATGAAAGTGATTGAAATAATTCAGTTTCAAGTTATGTAAAACTTAGTCTGATGATTTACTTGACCTCCCAGTGTCCTCTAAAGTCCCACATGTCATTTGTTTCCAGTAATTGCACTTGAACATACATACAAACACACAAGATTGATTCAAAATCACCAAATACAGCAAAGAGATAGAGGTGCATTTTAGATGGCCTATGACCAGGGCCACAGGCCTGTTTGTGCTGGGATTCCAGAAAGGCTCATACCCTTATGTGCATGAATCCCTTTTTCATTTAATTGAAAATTCATACTGATTAACCATGATTTATGATACCAAGTTCACAGCATGATCTGGACTGTAGACAACAAATCTCTGAAGTATGAATTCTGATTTAGCATTTGCGTCTATTTGTATCTGTATACACACACACACACAATTTCTGTAAAGAAACTGTCTATAAATACAGAACTAAAACCACTTAGTGATAGCAATAGAGACATAATAATGAAAAATGGCAACTTTCTCAATGTATATTTCTGGGTTACTCTGATTATATCTGTTTTCTCTGCTTTAGTGGCCGGGCAATTTATATGTTCATCCCTAGTTTACAATCTCAAACCTCTCATACAGTGGATTTCATTGTCATTAACTTTTGAATATTAAATTCTAATATTTATGGGTTCCATCACTGAATTGTAGAATTGTCACACATTTAATTATAATTTCTTTCACATATTCAGCTAATGAGACTTATTAATGGTATTGAGAATTAAGATAATGTTAAGTAAAATAGTAATGCAACTATTTCATATGCCATTGTTCATCCCACTAGAGCTTAGATATCTGAGATATTTCTTATTCAAAGAGGCTAAAGTGAGTTAGACGAATATCGACTACCTCCTCATCATAATCTTCTTTCTTGATTAAAATAAAGGTTAGCACCATCATCTTTCTTTCTGTTTTTATCTAGGTGGACACGTTCTGAGGAATAGAGCACACCATCTTCACTCAATCTTAATTTACATTATAGGACAATGAAGATGTGTTAGATTCTCAGAATTACAGGAAATTGTTCTTGTAACAGCAAGTGATTAATCCTCTGGTTTCCATTACAGTCTCTTACAGAAACAGAATTAAGTTTTATACATAATCATAAGAACAGCTGCAGAATTGCCCCAAAGCTTATCTGAAGTGCCATTATAAAAAATTTCCTACAAAGTGGTGTCTGATTCCATTATGAAAGAAACATCACCAAAACTTTAATGATACGGTTTAAAGACAAGTTTTCTACAGTAAGGAGTGAATAGGACTCAATGTGTTTGTTCTTATGCATTATGTATTGTTCCATAAGGCTTATGCATAATGCATAAAGACATACCTATTCATATAGTTACATACTAGTTTGAGTAAAGTGAAAAACAATAAAACTGTAAACACAGATGTTTTTCAAAAAACTTATCCAGATGCACTAACAAAAATTATTTAAATAAAAAGTAGAGAATAAACACTTTAGTGATAAATACATCTCCACAAGACTTAGGCAGTCCACAGATTATGAATTTTTGAGGCACTTAACAAAGGGAAAACTTTATGTCTAGATGTTTAGGAATCAAATGAAAACTTCATTAACTAATGATGAGGCTAACAACAATCATAAAATCAGTTTCTCAATAACTAGGAACTTCATCAAGGTTTCTAAAGAAACTTTTCTAAAAGCTGGTAAAAATGTGAAAGTCACAAGTGGAATTGAGCAATGCACCTCTGGCAGGATAGTTATAATTTTCATTGAATTTGTAATTACTTTTGTCTGAATCCAAATATTTATGTTAGGGAAATGTAAAACCAGTTCATTTCAGCATTTACACAAAAAACTCTATCGACATTTTTGAGACATTATATTTTTAGTCATGTCAAGACAGACAGGGACAAGCAAAAGAAATATTCACATACCAGCTGGAGGAATGAGCCCCTTTCCTGCCTGAAAATCCATTCAAGGCATGAGGGGGGCAGGCTTAAATCTCCCCTTTGCTTCAGAGGTTAATTTCCCTTTATTAAGATGATCTTCAATTTGGGATTAAATATTCCAGAACTGAGAGCTGACAACATCTCCTGATATTACTAATCTTTTTTTTTCAGTGAATGCACAAAATTTTTGGAGGAAGAGAGAAAGAGTGAACAGCTTCATGGCCTAATAGCTGACATCTTTGCCTTGAAGTCCATTTACTTTCTGTTAAATTTGCTAGATTCCAATCTTTTTTTTTTTTTTTTCCAATGGCATGTAGAGATATCAAGAAGTTAAGTGATCTGTACAGGCAGACACAGAGCTAGTGATAAACTCAAAGCTAATAACAAGCAATCTCATTCCTACACATTAAGTAATGTCAATGGTTTCACTTCTTTGGTGTGGCTTGCCGACAGTCGTGTTCCATTTGGGCTAGAAAGATGAACATATTTGTACACAAAGCCAATGTCTGTGAAATGAAACATTATTCACAGAATCTGGTGAACCCCAAGACTGTTAAGAGTTTTGAGTTTGCCAGAATTCTTTGCAGTATCATGGATCACAGCAGTGATGTTTTCAGTATTTTTCAAGTCTCTCATTCATGGAAATTAAATTTACACAAGATCCCAGAGTGTAAATCAGGCTGCAAAAGTTCTTATTTTTGCTTTTGAAGTTAAATGTGAAGTTAAATTTTCTGTCACAGTGCAGAAGCTCCAAAGTGCAGGTATAAGAACAGCCAAATTGTTTAGACAAATATTAAATAAAAGTCTCATGCACTTTAGCCCAAAGCACTTATTAGAGAAAGACACAGAACAATTTTTTTTTCCTTTACAAAAATGAAGATGTTATTGACAATAGAGACAATTTTGAGTCAGGCTTTAAAAACATTTGATGTTTGCCATTATGTCCTGCAGCAATTAAAAAAAAAATCATAGCAGCTCAGAACAAAAATTTGTGAGTGTAAGATAAATCACTGCCACTTAAAGGTTTTAAATTGGGTCAGAAATTTAGCAACTTTAATATCGACTGGATGTTTCCCCACTGATTTTAAAGTGACTATAATCACTCACATATCTGTATCATAGTGTTCTCTATATGGACTTGGAATTTCCATTGAGTTAACTGTTGTACAAAACAAACATTTAAAAAAATCCAAATATTGATCCATGAAATTTGCTTGCCAAAGTGTGCTACTAAGGTGATGATCGTGAGATGGCACACATGATTGGCACCAGTCTTGCTGACAGACCACTGGTTAGCACACCAGCTGCTGGAGAAGTTCTCTGGAGGGAGTCCATAATGATGAGGTGGCTTGATGTATTCGTACAATATTCTCTCATCTATAAAGGAACATCAAGAACTAAAGTCCAAAAATATAGGATGAAAATATTTACTCCATAGTGATGCAGGAATCCGAAAAGAAACACACAGAGGAAAGCAACCTCGTCCTGAATGAGAGATAATACAGAGGTTAAGAATTGAGAAAAATAAAAGAACAAATTATCTGTGTTTGGTCTACTAGCAAAATGCTGCCAAGATAAAGAGAGACAAAGTAAGGTATAATAGTTAAAACAAGAAGCAAGGATACCTGTCATTTTAAATTTTAATTTAAAAAACCTGTCATATTAATCAAGGCCCACATTTTCTTTTCCTCAGTCTTTGAATAGCATAATTATCAATTTAAAAAACCTGTCATATTAATCAAGGCCCACATTTTCTGATTAAAAAACAGTTTGATGTGCACTGAAGAACTAGATACAATGCACGTGCAGAATGACTACATAATGAAGGTCACTATACTTTCCTCCACTTTCAGTGACAGAACACTTTTTCTTCTTCCCAGATCTTTAACTGCTTTAACTGTTCCCAGATTTTTAACTCCTGCAAAATAAATTTAATCTCTTCTTCATATGTAAAATTTACTTCCAGTTAAACTATGTGGAAGTGTATGGAAAAACTGGCAAAACATGCTATGTATGCTAAGTTTCAGTATCCATTTTCATTAGTAGCTGATGCACAGTGCAGTTGGAAAACAGGTTAGAATTACAAAATGGTGAAATTACATTTCTTCCAAGTCTGGAGTATTCAAACCTATTCATGTAGTGTGACCCATGAAAAATGGTAGTGGAATTATGAAAAATGATTAGTGATTTATGTGAAATGATAGCGAAATTGAGACATTAAATTTTGTCTAAAGTTAAATTCCCATCCTATATCTACTTTCCTTCCTTGGGATTAAGTTAGGCAGAAATTTCCATTTCAGCATCAACAGTGAAGTTAATATGATCAATTTATTCCATAAGAATATAGATTTTCTCCCCCAAGAAAAAAAAAATAAGCTTAACTTTTTTATTTTTATAGAGAAAACCTTGCATGGAACTTCACATACTGCTTTTGAGTTGGTTTAAATATGAAAGATTGAAGCCAAATTCTGAGATAAAATATAATATATTAATTAAAACAAAATGGAACTTTCATTCTGAAAATATTGTCTTTTTTGTTGTTATATCTGTATGGTCTCATTTTTTTTTTAACTTGTACCATGAACTGACAGTAGATAGAAAGATATAAAAGAGTGACAGCAGCAATAATTTTGAAAAATAATTTTTAAAAGGTATCATTTACTGAAAGAAATTTTTATAGTATTTCTCCAGCGTCAAGTAATAAGACAATTCTATAACAAATTTATCAAATCTGTAAATCTTTTTGTTTTAACTTAAAGCAAGTAAAAATAGTAAATTAGTGAAAAGAGGTAGCTTACTTGATTTGATTCAAGTAGATGAAAATAATAAAAAAAACCTTCCTCTTTATAAGAGAAATCGTCCATTATGAGAATATTTTTGTTGCCACTGTCACAATATAGAGTATGGATGGATAATTAAAAAAAAAAAAAAAAAACAAAAAAACAAAACCAAAAACAAAAACCAAAGCCTAAACGCAGGAAAATAAGGAAAAGTCACACTTATATGCACAAAATCCCATGAATGCATGCCTATTTAGTAGGTGAAGGCTCAGGTCTTCAGTAAAAAAAATCTTACAGAGCTCATTAATAATAAAAGAGAGAAAACAGCTGATGGATTCCCTCAAAGCCTTATTAGAACAGGTCAACTCACTCTCCTGAACAAGGCAAGAAAATAGTCACCAGCTGAGTAAAGCTGAAGGCTGACATAATGATGGATGGCCAGATGGTTTCACCACAAAGGGAAAAACTTGTCCCCAAACAGGAGAAGTAAGTTCTCAAGGATAAATATTCTCTTTTCAAGCAATATATTCTCTTGCCCAGCCTGCAAGAGAAAAGGAGAATAAGCCATTTTAAATTGAAGGCCCCACAATTACTTTTATTCTGTATTCTCTCAATGATTCTCTCCACTGAGGAATAGAGAATGTGAATAAAAATGAGACCCATGCAAGTTCTTTTGCAAATGTTATTTTCCTTTTTCCCGCCTAAATGCATCAATGACTATTTATATTTTATACAATTTTTTCTTATATGCAAAGTTTTCACAAAAAACCCATGTTCAAACATCCATCAACTTTTGAAATAGTTTAGCTCCAAATGTAGTTTTGAAGTCCATGTGTTTTCTTCTGTCAGGAATACAATCATTTTGGAGAAAAAGTTTTTAATTAAAACTATGTAGTTCCTATTATTTAGCACAATATTCCATTTGTGGGGAAGAGATAATTTATAGGTGACTATTTTCGTAGTTCCAGAGTATGTTTTTCCATCTATCGCTCCCACCTTAATAAGCTTTGAAACTTTTACTCAGTCCTCAACAAAAAGTACACTATGGCTTCCAGTGTCACGGATATCCTGTTCTTTTTCATACAAAAATGTTAAGATGGATACAGAAGATGAACTCTATTATTTGAGAAGAGTGTAGTCTAAGTTCTTAAGTTCTGATTGGAATTTTGGGTCACCAAAAGCAACAACAGTATGCCTTACCTCTTTCCCAGATGATGATCTAATGATACAAAAGGTAACTTTGGGATTTGCAGGTAGGGTTAATGGAGCTGTGATGGAAAGAATCAGAGAAATTACTGTAGAATAGTTAAAAGTAAGAAAAAAATATCAAGTCAACTCTTGAAGTTATGTTGAGAGACACAGATGCCTAGAAAATAAGATTTAATTTATTCCTCTGCTCATAGCACATTTTGCTCTTCATTTTATTTTTCAAAGCTAAAAAAAGAATAAAAGATAAGCCACAAAGTTTTTTGCAATCCTTTTTTTGTCATCGTTCTGAGAATTAGACTGACTTCAAAACAAAATCAAGATTTTGAAACCAAAACTTGAAATAAATTTGCAGTTAAAAAAGTCAACCTTATGTTTTTCTCTCACCTTTTTCTTTTTCTTTTCAAATATCTTTTCCAAATCTAACTGATTCTAGTTATTTGGACAGAATCCAGTCTGACCTTACAGGAATGGGACCTTAGAACTTTACCCATATAAAGCACTGCAAGGTGACTCCTTTATAGAAAATATTACTAAAAAGAGTAACAGCAGGCCTTAAGTGTTAAATACATGCATATGTTCGTATGGCATAAGCATGCATATAACTTACAGATGAATGCTTTAGGAAAAATTAATTGAATCATTTTTCATGGTTATATAACTATGTCTACATTATGGGGAAATTTGAACCTTTCTTGTATTATCTGGAATACATCTGTCATTGGAAGTTTTGCCAGGACTCGTGATGAAAGTTAAACAGAATCCTCCCACTTGTTTTACTGTATCAGACCAAAATATCTTTTTCTTTCAGTCTCCTTGAGCTCCTGATCTCTTTCTTCCCTCAGTCAGCTACCATTCCTTGTTACTTACTGACAGTTTTGACCACAGATTCCATTTTGTTTCTTCCTAATACTTATCTGCTTGACTTCATCTCGCTTGCAGCCTTTTTGATACACTGAAGAGAGATAGAAGCTGTGGCTCACCTGCATCTCAAAGGCTTCACTTGGAGCCATCATCAATATATATTCACAAAACAATGAAAAGAAAGTGAATCAGGGACTGCTGAGAGTAGGAATTGGCAGCCAGAAGAGAGGATAAAGAGACCAGAATAAATTGGGTTTTGGGGTTTCTGATTGTTTCGTTTTGTTGTTTTTGTCCTCTAAAAAAATCCCTCTGGCAGCCCTGAATGAGATAAATTTTCATTAATTAGCATAAATGTTGATTGCTTGTTTGTGAAGGGTGATTCTATGCCATTAAGGCAGGTTTTTGATTTTCCCTGCCTGAAGCTACAGCAGGGAATTTGGATTCATCAGTTATAACTTGTGATGGAATGAAGAAGAGCCTATTTTAAATGTTATGAAAGTATAAAGTAGAGAAGCTTTGTGGTACTTTAAAATCTGCTGAATATGTGTATTTTTTATTTTATTTTATGGGACACAAGGGGACAGAGTAATTATGATTGTAAGTATCAAATATATGGCAGCTTATCTGCAACAACATCTCAGTCACAGATTTACAGGTGGTTCTCAGATCATCCTGAGGCTCAGAATAGCTCTTTGTACTGTTAGAACCTTGAGATGTTGAAGGTTAATTCTCCAAAGTGAGGTAAAACTTTTAAAAAAAATAAGGGTATTTTTTCCTTGTTAAGAGTACTTTAAAAAAACACCTCAAAACACCATTTAAATATACTAGCCTGAAAAAATATTGAGTTTGCTCAAAACATTTTGTGAAATGTAATTAATATATAGACATACTCAGCTGAGATTAACATGTAGTGTGGATTTTAACTTTATCAACTTGAAGCTACTGTTTATACTACGCACAAAAGAGTTTTTGTCTTCATTCTTGAGCACATTCTGGCCTGAAAATCTTTCTTAGAATTATCTTCACATGTCTTAAATTACTGTGGAGGAGTTGAGTGCACTCAGCAAGATGTAGAACTCATATCCACTGCCCATGTTTTTAGTATGATACATATATTAAATCACATTAGCTTAGAAGCCAAAAGATACCTCTGATAGGTTTCTGCTAATGCAAGCTTGATTCCATGCCCATGTTTTTCTCCAGTGAAGCAGTAAGCCACTGAACTTTGCTTGAACTCAGATTCACAGAACAGTGCAGTACATATTTGATGCAACCCATCCTGTTCATATTCAATTTTTTTTTTCTTCATTAATAAAAAAGAGAATTCACTTACTACCCAGCTAAGCAAGAAAGACTGTGAAGACTGACTGTTATTTGCTCAAGAATTTGAACTCTATTGAGACATGTTCCAGGAAAAGCTATCTTACAAAATTCTACTCCAACCCTTAATATTTTTCCACAAACTCTGAAAACCAAGAAGACAAAGACCTCTGAAACAGAAATCTCATATTATAATCAATAATAATGTTATTTCAACAGCAAGATTCATAATATGGGCAAGGGCTAAAAAACCCCCATATTATTTTCTCAAGTATATTAAATTTGATCTCTACTTCTTTATGTTAAAAATATTTATTTCTATAGATATTCTTTTCCCCATAAAAAACTGGATTTTTTTTTTCTGCAGAAGATGAAAAATAATAAAAAAACGAGAAGTTGTTCTAATAAGTAGCAACCTTATTCTGGAATTAACCAGTGAAGTCATGTTCTAGTAGACTGTGCTGTGGGATGGACACAACAGACTTCTTATGCATGTTCAGATACCAATACCTTCTTTCAAGAGTTATAAGTAGTTCAGCTCATTGAAAACAGACTAAATATATATTTCAGCTTTAGTTAGTGTAATTTCTTTCTTCAGAAACTCATCTGCTTGAGTTGTACAGGATTTTCAAATGCCTGTTGTGTTTTGTTTTGGTGTTAATTTCAGTGAAATGGTCTCCAGAATAACTTTCTGCCCAAACACAGAAAATAATGTAGTCAAAAGCCACCCAGGATCACTTTAGTAAAAAAGATGAGACTTCCTGGATACTGGTCATCACTTTGGATCTTTACTTAAGAAACACAATTTCTTTACAGTTAGTTTACTGAGGAAATCCAAAGTTCAAAAAGAAATACAGTCTAGGGTCTCCTAGATACTTTAGATTATGTGAGTGGACAATAAAACAATGCAATTAAAAGAGGTAAATCCACAAAGGAAGATACTAAAAAAAGTCATTGCTGCACTCACACTCAAGGAAAGGCAAGGGAAGAAGGAAAGAAGGTAATTCAGAGCTGACTCACAGTCTCAAAGGCAGACAGCTCTGCTGGAAAAACAGCGTGCCTTCTGAAGTAAAGCTAAATAAGGACTTAACATATATTTGCAGTTATTTATACTTGTTGCAAAATTATGCTTTTTATCATAATTAACAGGATAAGAAGCCAGATTTTGCCCTCATGAGACAGAAGATTTTAGCAGAAACACACTAAGTAGAAAATTTCTTTCTGTTCTACAAATAATGAATTGGTTTTCATGAGCTTGTTGTAGTGGTGCTGAGGTTTTCTGATGAAGCTAAAAATGAATCTGTGTTAATATCTTTTTTATAGCTTTGTAAGTCAAATCTGAACAGAAAGCAAAATAATTCTTTTTATCCTACCTTATTTTTATCCTACCTTCTTAATTATATCTGTAAATACATTAATATAAAATACCCACAGTTTTCATCTCCTTTTCACTGTACTTTCAGATGAATTAGGTTATTATGTTTCTTTTTATTTGAGATATATGACTTATTCTGACTAATACGAACTGTTAAGCTTATTTGTTAGCAAACAGATCAGTGTAGAGTGAAATAAAAAGTAATTAGCTACTTAATATTGGTAGTATAATTCTAATTCAAATAAATTAGATTCATCATTATTTTGATTCAAACAATCCCCTATAATGATTATTTTTTCATATTTGTACAATCTACAGTGAGAAATGTAAATATTCTAAGCCATACATGAGATTCGAGGATATGTGCAAACCTTTAGTAAATACTTTTAGATTTTGAATGGAAAAAATTTATTTCTATTTTTTGGGGGTTTTCTGTTTTTTGGTTTTTTTTTTTTTTTTTTTTCTGATTCAGTATGGTTCAGAATATTTTCTAGAAGTCTTTTAAATACTATTAGTTTCAGACTTTTAAATACTATCAGTTTTGGACTTTTAAATACTATTAATTTTGGATAATTAGTTGTTTTGCTGATCAAATAGGAAGAGAATTGACCTAAAGGCAACACATAACAAAAAAAACAACACAATTTCCTTGTAGTGGAGAAGACAATACCTGTAGCTGCTATCACATTTTTACTTAAAGAAATGTCATGGGCAACTACAGCCAATTGGAAAAAAATCCTAGTTGTGTTTGTAAAATAAAGGTGCAAAACTTCCAATGACAACACTTTTTGTGGAGGCAGATATTCCCACAAATGTTTTCATTGCTGACTTTTGTACATAATAATATTTATAATGATAATGTTGTGAGATAATAGATGTTACCTCAGTATTGAAGATAGCTGTTACTGTGTAGCACATGACAATTACTTTTTTAAAGAAAAAAAAAGCAAAACAGCTATTCTCTTTTCTTTTTATTTGTTTGATCCCGTCCTTCTCATAATTTCTTTGGGTTTGATTTTTGTATTTCACCTACAGGTGAGCTGTTTTCAGCAGCAATTGTTGGAGGATGGTTTCAAGGCCTCTACATTCAGTTACTCCATAATTCTTTTGCAGTGAATGGTGAAAGCACATATTTGGATATGTAACGTTGATTTGGATGACAATGGAGAACTGGTAGTTTATCTTCACCCAGAGCTGATAAGCAGCTTAAGGTGTGTTAGCAGTTTGAACCAGAAGAATCACGAGACTTTGGTGAGGTTTTACTTGTATAGACTAATATGCAGTGGTAAGGTAGAGAAAGCATTGCACAACAGTTAAGCAGGAAACTGAGCTAAACTGAAGTGAAGCCACATCATCACTGTAAACTGCTGAATCATTCACTTTCTAAATTTCCAAACATCACATTTTAGAGAAGAAAAAGAAAATGTGAAATTTGAATAGAAGAAATTTTGGATTTATCTTTTCATATAGTCTCTTCTTCAGATGTGTCCACTCAGAAATTAA